TGTGAGAGCAACAGGCGCTGCTCGCAGAAGCTGAGAGACAGGAAGCTGCTGAACTGGAAGCTGCAACAGATGCTTCCAAAAAAGAACATCTGCTGCAGCAGGCCCAGAAAACTGTTGCAGATACTAGAGTGGCCCAGTGTACAAGGGACCTGGCTGAGCTAGTCCTCCTGCAGGACAACCTGACCGCCGGCCACTTTACAAACTGGGACGAGAGGATCCAGAGGCTGGAGACCAGGGTGGCTGATCTGGGAACTCAGCAGTCAAAGATCCTGGATGCAATCCAGAATCTGACTGCTCGGTTAACAGCAGCCAATGTCATCAGTCCCCTGGTCCCTGTGGTCCCCACTCTAAAGCCTAAACAGCCTTCTCAACCCCCTTCTCCACCTCCTTCATCCTCTGGCTCTCCTCATTCTTCTCGCAAGACTTCTCCCTCTGTCACCTCCCAAGCCAAAGCCGCACTTCCTCCCACCTTTGCTGCGGTTGTTGCTGGGGACCACAAAGGTCCCAAGATTCCTGCCCCCAGCAAATTCAAGGGGGATGACCCCAAGATTGATGTGGGGGACTGGACAGCTGGAACCCGGGCCTATCTGAAGGGGTTCCTGTGCCCAAAACAGCAAAAAGGTGGCTACTGTTGTGGGTCTGCTGGAGGGGCCTGCCCAGAAATGGGCTACCTCTACAGCAAGTGCCCAGAATCAGACTTTGGAGGACTGGGCCCTGGCACTGGGGGCTGACAAACTTTTGCAGGCCCTGGAAGATCGATTTGCAGACAAAGAAAGCGTCCGCAAAGCTGCTGATAAGATTGTACGCCTGGGCCAGCAGCGTTACAGCCGCAGTCTGCAGGCTTTATTTGCTGAATTTAAGCAGCTCACTTCCACCCCTGGACTGGTTATGTCTGCTGATGATTTGCTGACTAACTTTTGCAGGGTTGTGCCTGAAAAGTTTTGTGTTGCTTTATATAGCGCCGGGCACAAAGACTGGCGCTCATTTAGACGCGCAGCACTGGACATGGAAGCTAAGCTTCATGTCCAGACCCCCTCCAGTGACAGGAGGAGAGGCGCCTTCCCTCATGGTGGTAGAAAGGGAAAGGCGGCCTTTGCATATGTGGGTTCTGGGACATCATCTGTTGCAGGATCCCGGCCTGGTACACCGCCAGGTGGGACTGCAGCAGTTGTTGTTCCAGATGTTGCAGCAGTTGTCCAGCAGTTGCAGGCTGCGCTGGGGGCCTTCCAAAAGACCAGATCTGCCACCAGCACAGCCTCCAGCAGCAAGGGGAAGAGTCAGGGACGTCGCTCTTCAACCCCTGCCCGGCGCCCTAATCTGCCACGTGACGTCCACTTCCCAGCAGACCCTCTGAACCCCAACACTCTCCCATGGCACGAGCTGAAGATCCAGGAGGGAGTGTGGAGGAAGAGGAAGGAGAGAGGTGTCTGCTTGAGGTGTGAGGGACAGCACTTCCTGAAGGA